CCCACCCTGAGTGCCAGGGTGCAGCAGACCCACCCTGCCCACACTGGGGCCACCGCCAGGCCCCCTGGGTGGCTGCCGGACAGGGAGGGGAGGAATAAACTTGTCTGCCCACTCGGCTCCTCTCTGCCCACCCCGGGCTCCTCTCTGCCCCCTCTCCCCCCAGGCTCCTGGTCCTCAGCCCTCCCCTGCTGCAGGGCACTCCCGGCCCGTGGCCCCGTCCATCCAGTTCCGGTCTCTGTCCATCCTGATGGACAGCCCGGGACAGGCTTGGAGCTGCTGAAGCCTGGGAGGAGGTCCGGACAGCTCCTCTCCGTCCCCCAGGGCTGAGCATGGGGTGGCCTGCTGAAGGCCGCCTGGCCTGGGAGGGGCTAGCTGTCCCTGCCCCACCGTCCCAGCAGGTTTTCCTCAAGGCCTCAGGTGGCCAGGTCTCCCTGCTGGCAGAAGCTGGGAAGGGGCCACTCCTGCCCCGAGGGAGAGCTGGGGGTGGTGCAGGGCTTGGCCGCGCAGTCACTCCGAGTGGGCCTCTCTGGGCCCCTTTCGAAGGCCAGAGGTTGGTGGGGGCCGTTCTGTACCTCGTCCACCCTGGTACCTTCAGAGCTCCCGGGAGGACTTTCTGCTGTGGGTGGGGAGGGAATGGCCTCCGAGTGGGTGAGGGATAGCCCAGGTCACAGGGTGGGGCGGGCCACCTATGAGATGCTGGAACATCTCGTAGAAACCCTGGTCCCCTGGCCCAGGGTGGGACTGCTGGGGCTCTCCAGACTCCTGGCCCAGGTGGCCTCCACATTGTCATCGTGACAGGGGCACATGCTGACCCCAGGGCTCTGGGGACAGGTGCAGTGGGGCCACAGGCCTAACCCTGAGGAGCCCTCAGCCCAGCCGAGGTCCCCAGCTAAGCCCCATCACCCTGTCCCCCACCCAGCCTGGGGTCCCTGATCCCTACACCAGGTGCCCATGTCCCCACGTCCTCTCTTCAGTGTGCCACACTGAGTTTCAGAGACAGAAGGGGGATCACAGGCAGGAAGGAGAGCCCCGAGTCCAGCAGCAGCACCTGCACCCCTCGCTGTGGTCCCCTCTGGCCTTGGAAGAGACTGAGCTAGGTGGGGCGTGGGGGTCCAGGCCACCCACCACAGTCCGTCTCCAGCCCCGGGAGGCCCCTCTGTCCCTCTCCCACCGTGTCCCAGCCCTGGGAGGACCCTGAGGTCCAGGGCTTGCCCAGGAGTGGGACGGTGGGTGGGCTGGTGCCGGGAGCTCATGAGCGTCACCTGGGCGCGGCCAGCGGGCCGTTTGCTCTGCCTCTTAGGACGGGGTCCCAGGAACTTGTCCTGTGTCCTCTGTGCTGTGGGTGCCGCTGGGGTCTCGGGAGCCCCTGCCCCATCTGCTCCACCTCATTTCAGCCATGTGCTGGGGGTCCCCATGAGCAGCCCTGGGATGCCACCAGCCACCCTGTCGCCTTGGGGACAGATGCACCAAAAGCTGTCTAAAATGAAAAGTCCTGCTGAGAGCCACATCGGCAGCGCGTGCGGCCCCGGGGACGCCCCTTCCCACAGCAGGGGGGCCGCCCCCTCCACCTTCGACCCCGTTTCCTTCTGTGAAGGCCCGTCTCCACCCAGGGCAGGGCTTCGAGGCAGGACGGGGGACGCAGCCACTGCACTTGGGGGAGTGGCCCTCTAGGCCCACCCTGAGAGCTGGAGGAGGGTTATGGGGACCAGTGACCCACCCAGGTCACACGAGCCTTGTCCCAGTGTGGCAGGGGCCGCTGGGCGGGTCACTCAGGGAGCCAGGAGGCCTTGCCTACAAGCCCCCTTCTGAGAGTGGACATCTGCTCCGAGTGCGTGGGGACGGGAGAGCCTGTGAGAAATGTCCACCAGAAACCCCAAAGAGCAAGCCAGGGGCGGAGGCCATCTGTGACTTCCCACTCAACCATGCACAGAGGTGCACGCCTGCGATCCCAGCACTGGGGGGCTCAGGCTGGAAGATCACAAGTTCAAGGCCAGCCTCAGCAACTCTGCAACACCCGGTCTAAAAACAGAATGTAAAGTGGGCTGTGGGTGTATGTTGCTCGGTGGGTAAGCACCCTGGGTTCCGTGGAAGGGAGGGGGCACAGATTCTGGGAGTGCACCCAAAGGAATTGAAGCAAGGCCCAGAGGTGTTTACATCCAGGTTCATAGCATCCTTCTAGAGTCAAAGGCAGAGAACAGCTGAGTGGGTAAACAGAAGGTGGTATGTCCATACAATGGAATATTATTTAGTCTGAAAAAGGAAGGAAATTCTGATTATAGTAAAATTGAGTGAGTCTTAAGGACATTATACTAAGTAAGACAAGCCAATCACAACCACACGATTCCGTGTGATTCCACCATATGAAGTACCAAGAGGAGTCGGAGTCATAGAGACCCATTAGCAGTGGTTACTGGGGAGGGGATTAGAATTTCAGTTTTGCAAGATGGAATTCTGGAGATTGCTTGGCCGTTGAGCCACATCTCCAGATAGGGTCTCGCTAAGTTGCTTAGAGCCTCACTGACTTGCCAAGGCTGGCCTCAAACTTGTGATCCTCCTGCCTCAGCCTCCCCAGTTGCTGGATTCCAGGTGTGCACCACTGCACTCAACAACCATGCGAACGTATTTAACACCACAGAACTGTACCTATCAGGAGGGGACAGGGCCTCGCTGCACTGCCCGGGCTGGTCTCCACCTCCTGGGCTCAAGCCAGCCTCCCAAGTAGCTGGGGCTACCATGTGGGCCCCCTGCTGGGCCTGGGCGGTGGACTTAAGAGGGTCAGAGTGGTGTACACTTCATCCCAAATTCTTTTTTAAAAACGTGGACGGGAGGGAGGGGAGAGAGCCTTCCTCCCTGCCGATTCTCCAGGGCTGCTTCCCTGCCGGGCTCTGGGCTGCCCCAACCCTCGGCCCTCTGCTGCAGGGGCCCCGGGCAGTGCCCTAGAGGCCATGAGAAGGGCAAGGCTGCCAGGCGCCCACTGGAGATGGGCCACCAACAATGGTCCCTGCCTCCCGCAGAGGCCTGTGCTTCCCAGGACCCTTGGGGTGGGAGGGGACGTGACCAGCTCTGACCAGCGAGTTCTGGCTGGAAGGGACATGGGGCCCTGGAGCCGGAGCATTATCTGTGGACAGAGCCCTTCCTGGGCTCCGCCCCTCGGAGGGTGTGGGGACCGGCACGCTCCAGTGCTCTCGTGTGGCTGGCAGCCCTGGGGGCGCTCATCACCGCGGCACCACCTGGCCAGACCCCGCCACACCGCCTCTTCCCCGGTGGTCCTTGAATGGGGAGGCCAGTGTGGGGCGTGGCCTTCTGTGTGCTGTGCACGTCGCAGGGCCGCCAGCACGATTCCGAGTTGGTCTCCGTGTGAGCCTGAGGAGGTCACCGTCTCAGTTCGTCCCTCCATAACAGGGACCTTTCCAGATGCCAAATTCTGGGCCGGGGAGATGGCCTTGCCCCTCCTCGTGCCATGGACCGTCAGAGCCCGAGGACGGCTGTGCACAGATGGCGAGGCGCACAGCAGACCTGTGCTCCCTGGGTTCTGTGGCTCAGCAGTGGACTGAGGGTGTCCCCGGGAGGCCCGCTGGGTGACCGCTGGTGCAGAGCTGCCCGCCAGCCGTGAGACCTAAGTGGTCTGCAGGAGTGTCGCCCGCCCTTCCCTCACAGGACACTCCCAGCTGTGTGGGTGGAGGGGACAGCAGGTGGCA